GCCTTGAGCTGAAGAGCTGAGGGACAGCGCCCAGGCCCAGAGTTCAGGCCCCACAACTGGACCAAAAAATAAAAAAAAAAGGCACTCCAGTTTGTTAAAGCTCCAGAAATTTCAATAGGGCAATCAGGACAAACCAAAAGTTCCTTCTATTTGTAGCTTGAGACATTTTCCTGTCATCATTGGCATGTCAAAGAGAATAAATGAGGAGGTGTGTAGGTAACAACATGGAAATCTCCCCTTCAGAAAATATTCAGATTAATAAACACATATAACTATAGTGTTAATCTCACTTGAGGAGTCCCTTTTGTTTTTAGAAGTTAGAAGGTAATATTGTTTCCTTCTTTGTATCTTCACATGGGACGGAAAGAACTACTCAGTATAGTTATAGGGACATCAAAAACACCTTTAGATACTGGTACTTAAACATGACTTTCTGTTTCTTTTTTGTTGGTCATGGGGCTGGAACTCTGGGCCTGGGCGCTGTCCCTCAGCTCTTCAGCTCAAGGCAAGTGTTCTACCACTTGAGCCACAGCGCCATATCCGGTTTTCTAATGGTTCATTGGAGACAAGAGTCTCACAGATTTTCCTGTCCTGGCTTTGAATTGCGATCCTCAGATCTCAGCTAGGATTACAGTTGTGAGCCACCGGCATGTGGCTAAACATGACTTTTAAAATGTTATTGTTTTCTTTTCTTGCCTGTCCTGGAGCTTGAAGGCCCAGGACTTTCAACAATGGATAGAAAGCCAGTAAGGAAATCACAATATTAAAGACAAAATGGACCTAACAGACATATACCGAGCATTCCATCCTAGTAGAATTCCCATTATGTTCAAACATAAACAGAATACTCTCCAAGATAGGTAGGCTATAATACTAACAAATTTAAGAAGACTGTAATACCAACTTTGTGTGTGTGTGTGTGTGTGTGTGTGTGTGTGTGTATGCTGTTCTCAGAGGCTTGAATTCAGGGCCTGGGTGCTGAGCTTTTTTGGCTCAAGGCTAGTACTCTACCACTTGAGCCACAACTCCACATGCTTTTAGGTAGTTAACTGGAGAGGAGTGGGTTGGACTTTCCTGCTTGGGCTGGTTTCGAATCGATATCCTCAGATCTCAGCCTCCTGAGTAGCTAAGGTTACAGGCGTGAGCCACTGGCACCTAAGTCATTCCAAATATTTTAAAGATTTTTGGCTTCATATACCACTCACAAGAAACAAATTGAGCTGGGAAGGTGGCTCAGTGGTAGAGCGCTTGTCTTGCATGCCTGAGGCCCTGGGTTCCATTCCTCAGCACCACATAAGCAAAAAGAAAAAAGCCAGAAATGGCGCTGTGGCTCAAGTGGTAGAGCGCTAGCCTTGGGCTCAAAAGCTGAGGGACAGCAACCAGGCCACGACCGGACCCCCCCCCCCAAAAAAAGAAACAAATTGGAAATACTAGTAAGTATGTAGAAAATTAAACTCATGAACCAATGAGTCAAAGAAGAAAAATAAAAAGGAACAATATGCCAGGCACTGGTGGTTTATGCCTGTCATCCTAGCTACTCAGGAGGCTGAGATCTGAGGATTGTGGTTTGAAGCCAGCCCAGGAAGAAAAGTCGGTGAGATACTTATTTCCAATTAACCACCAGGAAATTGGAAGCGGAATTGGGCCTCAAGTGGTAAAGTGCTCGCCTTGAGCAAAAGAGCTCAGGGACAGTGCCCAGGCCCTGAGTTCAAGCCCCACAACCAACAACAACAAAATCTTACGACATGAAAATGGAAATGCAACATTAAAACTTAAGATATTGCAAAAGCAGTTTCAGTAAGAATTTTCTAGTGAAAAATACCTACATTAAGAAAAAAGGTTTTAGGGCTGGGAAGGTGGCTCAGTGGTAGAGAGCTTGCCTTGCATACCTGAGGCCCTGGGTTCAATTCTTTAGCACCACAGAAGCAGAAAAAAGTTGGAAGTGGTGTTATGGCTCAAGTGGTAGAGCGCTCGCCTTGAGTTGAAGAGCTGAGGGATAGCACCCAGGCCCAGAGTTCAAGCCCCATGACTGACAAAAAAAAAAAAAAAAAAGAAAGAGAAAAGAAAGAAGGTTTTAAATGACCAAGAGAAATTTACAAGAAAAAGAGGAATAACACCAACTAGCACAAAGAAGGAAATAACAAATATCACAGAAAAAATAGAAATGAAGAGGGCTTGAGAAGATAAAACTGTCAAGCCTTTAGCTAGACCAAGAAAAAAAGAGAGGTCTTAAATTACCACAAAACACAGAGGATTGTAACAAGTTGGATAATGTATGTAAATAATAAATCACTAGAAATCTATAACCTACTAAGATGGAATCATGAAGAAATAGAAGACCTGAACATACACCAATAATAAGTAAAAATATCGAGTAAGTAATCAAAAGCGCTCAACAAAGAAAAGCCCATGACTTAACAGTGTCGCTGATGAATTCTGCCAAATATTTGCGGAATTCATGCCAATCATCAAAGTCCTCCAAAAGTCTGTAAAGGAGAGAACACTTCCAAATTCATTTTGCAAGGCCAGCACTACCATGACACTGAAGCATGACTAGAGTACTCTATGGCCAGGGGCTGGGAAGGTGGCTCAGTGGTAGAGTGCTTGCCTTGCATGCATGAGGCCCTGGGTTCGATTCCTCAGCACCACATGAACAGAAAGAGCTGGAAGTAGCTCTGTGACTCAAGTGGTAGAGCGCTCGCCTTGAGCTGAAGAGCTGAGGGACAGTGTCCAGGCCCAGAGGTCAAGCCCCACGACCACCACCACCACCAACAACAAAAAGAAAAAGAAAAAAAAAAAAGAAGTTGGAAAAGACACAAATAAATGGAAGGTAGCATGTGCTCCTGGGTCTGAAGAACATCAAAGTGTTCATACTATCCAAAGCAATCTACAGAATCCAATGAACTTCACCTCAAAAGTCTAGTGAGTTGGTCACTGGTGGCTCATGCCTTTAATCCTAGTTACTCAGGAGACTGAGATCTGAGGATCACGGTTCAAAGCCAGACCAGACAGGAAAGTCCATGAGACTCTTGTCTCCCAATTAACCACCAAAAACTGGAAGTGACACTGTGGCTCAAGTGGTAGAGCACTGGCCTTGAGCTGAAGAGCTCAGGGACAGCACCCAGGACCAGAGTTCGTTCAAGCCCCACGACCAACCCAAAAAACCCCGAAACCAAAAAACAAAATTCTAGTGACACTTTTTCAGAGAAACAGAAAAAAAAATCCAAACATTCATATGGACTCAAAAGATCACCAACAGCCAAAGCTATCTTGAATAAGAAAAATTAAAAAAGCTGAAACCAGTTGGGTGCCAGGGGCTCATTCCTATAATCCTTGTTACTTGAGAAGCTAGAGATCTGAGGATCCTGGTTCAAAGCCAGCCCAGACAAAAAAGTCTTTTAGACTCATATCCAATTAGCCACCCAAAAAAACACCACACACACACATACACACAACTTGTAAACATCACAGTGCATGATTTCAAAATACTACACAGCTCTACCCACAAAATATTGGCATAAAACACAGACTGGCATAAAAACACACATACAAACAGAACAGAATACAACCCAGACTTAACTCATACACTTATATTCCACTGATCTTCCACAAAGGTGTCAGAAAGGCAGTTTGTCCAATAAATGGTGATGGGAAAAAAATTGAATGTCCTTACGCGGAAGAACAAAATTAGATTCTTATCCAATACTGTATAAAAAAATACACTCAAAATAGATTAAAACCTACCACAGTAACACATGGGGCAAAGAAACATACGGGAAAGCCTTCTTGACGTTGGTCAGGGCAGTAAGTTTCTAGATAACTATAGAAGCACAGGACACAAAAGGACAAACAGATATGGGATTACATGAAATTAAAAAGCTTCCTGAATTGGGGCTGGAGGAGTAGCTCTTCTGGGAGCTCACCAGCTAGTAAGGAAAAACATCAGGTCCTGAGTTCTAGTCCTGGACCCCCCAAAAAGCTTCCACATGACAAAGAACAAAAAGCAGAATCAATAGAATGCAGAGACAGATGATAAAATTAAAGAAAATGTATGCAAATAATGTAAGGAGCAGGGGAATCTGGTCAAAGTTCATTATATACATGCACAGAAATACTACATCACTGTAGTCTTACACTGTAAGATTAATGTACTCTAATAATACATTTTTTAAACATTACTATAGTGTGTCTCAAGTAGTTCAGTGTTTGCCTAGTAAACATGAGGTCTTGAGTTCAAAGTACAGCCAAAAAACCCAAAAACCAGGAGAAATAAATTTTTAAAAAACCGAAAAAATAGTAAAGCAAAACCATAATAGATATCTCTCATAAAGCCATACAGTGTCCAACAACTATATTAAAATATTCTCAACACCACTAATCCACAAGGATATACAAACACAATCCACAATGAAAAAACACCTTAACACCTGTTGGAATGGCTATTACGAGCCAGAACAAAGGTCACGGATGGGGAGCCAAGGAACTCCTGTGCACTGTGCAGCACAACTGTGAATTGTTACAACCACTATGGAAAGCAGTATGGAAGTAACTCAAGAATTTAAAAAGCAAGCTAGGCATAGGAGGGCACATCTGAAATCCAAGCCATGGGGAGACGAGAGGCAGGAGGATTTTGATTCAGGGCCAGCCAGGGATGAGACCAGTTCAAAGTCAGCCTGAGGGACATACTGGTTTAAAACCAAGGATGGAGTGAGGGAGAATATAGCTCAGTAGCAGAGGGCTTGACTAGCCATGTCTAAGGCTGTAGGCTCAATACCCAGCACCCCTCTCCCCCCCCAAAAGGTTCCATCTGATCCAGCAGTCCTAAGTTCTGGGAATATAGATACAGACCGGGAAATGAAGTCGACCTCTTGAATTTGTCTGAGCACTCATGTTCACCACGATACTCTTTCCAACATCCAACATCCAGAGTATACAAATGACTTCATTGGCCATTAGGGGCTGTACAGATGAAGGAAATTCAAAGGTACACACAGGAATTATTATCAGCCTTTACAAAGGTGAACGTTTTGGATTCCAGGAAATGGAAACAAGAGTTGTTTTTTTTTCTTTGTTGCTGATTTTATTTTCTTTCTGTCTTGTTTGTTCATTTATCTGTCTTTGGGAGAGTAGAGGGAGCACAGAACTAGGGACGCATGCAGCTGCGGACCTCACTAAGCACCATGTGGAAAACGATGTATACAACTTGTGTGTGAGGATGGGAGGAAAAAACTGGGAAAGAGCCAGGGAAGGGGCGACACTGTCTGAAAAGGAATGTACTCATGATCTGACATTTGTAACTGCAGCCCCTCTGTGTTATCAACTTCATAATAATTAAAATAAAACACTCAAACGTTACCTATACAAAAAAAAAGGAAAGAAAGAAAGAGTTAACATCTGCAAGAATATGATGAACCTGTAGGTGACACTAAATGAAATGTGGCAGGCAAAGAAAGGAAAGTACTGCCAAATCTCACATGTGGAATCTAAGGCCTTCAAACTCGCAGGAGCAAAATGGTAGGTGCCAGGGACTGGGAAATGGGGAAATGCTGATCAGAGCAGTTTCAGTTTTGTAGAAGAAATTCTGGATATCTAATGAGAGCGTGGTTACCACGGCTAATAATAGTGTAATATGTAAGAGAATAGATCTTAAGTATTCGTCCTGACAAAAAAGAAAACCAAGGGCTTGGCGTTTGGTGGCTCACACCTGTAATCCTAGCTACTCTGGAGGCTGAGACCTGAGGATCACAGCTCAAACCCAGCCTGGGCAAGAAAGCCTGTGCAGACTCTTATCTCCAATTGACTACAAACAAACAAACAGAAGTAGAGCTCAAATGGAAGAGCTCCAGGCTTGAGCACAAAAGCTCAGGGACAGTGCCCAGGCCCTAAGTTTAAGGGCCAGGATCAGCACCAAAGGAAAAAAAAAAAAAAGGCAGGGGGAGGGGGGAAAAGAAGGGAGAGAGGGAGGGAAAAGTAAGAGAATAATAAAAAGGGGAATCTGCTCAAAGTAAACTATATATATATATATATATATATATATATGGAAATACCATAAAAAGAAAAAGTGATGAGTATGTTAACTCCTTTGACTATGATAACCATAATGCATGCAAATAGGAAAGTATCATGTTTATATTAAACATATACATTTTTTATCTGCCCACTGTAATTCAATAAAGTTGGGAGCAGAAAGCCAAAGAAAAGCCAAACTATAGCCAGTGCAGGGGTAAAATTTGTCTGTCGTGTCCCAGACATGTTGGGGTCTCCTGACTCTCATGCCTATATTGTCCATTTCCTCAGTCATCCACGCACTGTGTTGATTCATCCATACCCTCCTACCTCAATCCTCAATAGGCAACTAATGCTACTCGTTTGAACATAGATCTAGGCTTTGTGGACAGCAGCACAATTCTCCCAGGGAAGACACTGGGTCCTTCAAACAATGTAATGAAGATTTTTATTAATATGGCCTAAGAAAAACTCTCTCCTGGTAAGTAGAAAATACAATTATTTTACCTAATGGACAGAGCACTCTAATGTAAACCAAAGAAAAAGGAGAATTCTTTTCCTTCACATTCAGTTTAAAGTACCTTTACTTACTTAAAACTATCCCAACCAACTTGTTCGTGTTACATATATGAGAGTCTAAGTATCCGTGACAAAAATTCAACCAAAAGGAACAATAGTGCTTCATTGGCTGAAAGGTAGTTGCTGTCCCTTAAGAATTAAACTAATGTAAGAAATTAAATATCTATGTTTATACTGCCTAGAATTCCAGCAATCATCATTATAACAAAAGGGCTTTCTGGTAATTTTATTTTTTAGTCGTTTAAGCTTTATGCAGAATTACTATTATTACCTTTGAAGCAAGGGCCTTTTGTTAGTATGTGAAAATCTTGTGTGTGTGTGTGTGTGTGTGTGTGTGTGTGAGTGTGTCTGTGTTACCAGTTCTGGAGCTTGAACTCAGGGTCTGGGCATAGCCACTGAGCTTTTGTGCTCAAGCTTAGAGCTCTACTATTTTGAGCCACAACTTCACTTCTGGCTTTTTGGTGGCTAAACGGAGATTAGAGTCTCACAGAACTTCCTGCCTGGGCTGGCTTCGAACCAAGTTCCTCAGATCTCAGCCTCCTGAGTAGCTAAGTTTACAGGTATGAGCTCCTGGTCCCCAGCTTCTTTGTGTGGTTTGGAAACACTTTTTTCATTTTTAAAAAGTCGCATAAGCCAACATGAACAACAGACTAAGAATGTCAATGCTAAGACAAGCAGTTCCTCGCAGCCTTTCCTTCTCCCTTTTCTACAGTCCCTCATACTCAGACTTGAATTCAGTCATGTGCTTGGCAGGCACTTTACCATGTTAATCATACCCCTATCACTGTTTGCTCTATTTCTCTTTTAAACAGAGTCTCATGTAGATGCCTAAGAGGACCTGGACTGCGATCCTCCTATCTCTGACTTTTTTTTTGGTGGGTTCTGGGGCTTGAACGCAAAGCCAGACACTGTTCCCAAGGCTTTGTGCTCAAAGTTTGTGCTCTAGACACTTGAGCCACAGCTCCACTTCTGGCTTTTTAGTGATTAACTGGAAATAAACAGTCTCAGGGTCTTTCCTGCCTGGGCTGGCTTTGAACCTTGATCCTCAGATCTCAGCTTCCTGAGTAGCTAGGATTACAGGAGTGAGCCACCGGCGCCCAGTTACCTAAGTTCTTGAATAGCTAGGATTATAAGGATGGCTACAACATGTGTTTTCTAAATTGTTGGCTTTGTTTGGATATGTGCATGAGTAAAATAAACCATCATCATCTGGTCTACCTTTCTAGGTATCCCTAACCATCCCAATTATAATAGAAATGGCAGAAATATCTATTTAGATATATGGTTTTTTGTTTGTTTGTTTTTGGTTGGTTGTGGGGCTTAAACTCAGGGCCTATGCACTGTTCCTGAACTTTCGTGCTCAAGGCTAGGGCTCTTCCACTTTGAACCACAGGGCCACTTCTGGTTTTCTGGCGGTTCACTGGAGATGAGTCTTACAGACTTTCCAACCTGGGCTGGCTTCGAACCATGATTCTCAAATCTGAGCCTTCTAAGTAGCAAGGATTACAGGTGTGTGCCACCGGCACCAGGCAGGAATGAATTTTAAACCCATAGACTCTTGGTATCTTTGTACAACTACTAAGAGGCTGACCAATGGCGGCCACTTAATAGAAGATAAATAAGAACATGCCCTCCAAGAAGCAATGTGTGCACCACTCTGTGAGCACAAGCGATCACTGCTACAAAGCCCAGCGAAGACACCAAGTCACTCAGTACCAACTAAAAGAAAACCAACCTAACCCGAAACCACCATCCACACAAAAACTTCCCCTTTCAAAAATCAGTGAAAGGGCCAGCTTGGTAAACCTCGCCGAGCTCCAATACCTGGTTCGGAGAATGTGTCGCTAATATCATCATCTTTGTCGTCTTCGTAGTCCTCCTCCTCCTCCTCCTCCTCTTCATTTTCAGACAGTTCGTGCTCGCTTCCGAAGCCTTCATCGTGGTCCTCGTCATCAACATCGTCGTCGTCATCGTCGTCGTCTTCGGGACTGCATTTGGCTGGCTGGTCCCCCAAGTTGTCAGAGACGAACAGTGAATAGTTGTGCTCTTCTTTCTTCTGGGATGAATCGGAAACCAAAGTGCTGGCAGAAAGGCTGCTACCCTCTCCGGTGGCAGCAGCCCCAGGTCCTTCTTGTGGTAAGGGACTGAGTAATAGTTCCTGGGTTTCTTTGAAAGGCAGAGTGGGCGTGGCGTGGCCCTGGAGAGGCTCCACCCCTTTCTTCTCTGGTCTCCTGGCCACTCCCCCACAGTAGCAGGTGCTCTCCTTGGCCGCGTCTGGGGGGGTGTGGCTCAGCACGGGCCGGCTGTGCTGTACGGCGTGGATTTTGACTTTTGCCTTTTTTACATAGTCTTTACATTCAACGTGAAAGTTCACCTTTTCATGGTGATAGAGGTGAGTCTTCACCATGATTTGTGTGCTGGAAGTAGGCTTGCTTGCCTTTTGGACACAGTCTGACAAAGGGACCTCGGTCTGGAGAGTCTTTGAAGAACACACAGGGGCCGCGGCTCTGCTGGTCATCTTTTTGCCGGGGAAAGAAGAGGGCAGGGGGTTTTGTTTGACACTGAAGAGCGAATCGGGATAATAAAGGGAATCGGAGACGGACTGCGAGTCCTCGCTGTTCAGCTGGGCCAAGGTTGGAGTTTTACTGATGACCTCTTCGTCTTGGTAAGGGCTGGAAAAGTCATCGAGACCCAAATAATCGACTTCTTTTGTCCCCCAGATGTCACAGCTGGTGAGTTTGGTGTACTTCGTCAAGTCCTCACAGTACGTGTCCCATTGCTCCCAATTGGAAGTTAAAGTCCCCTCATTTTCCAGGACATCGGTGAAAGACTCCAGGTTCTCAATGTCTTTGCAGTCCTCTAGAGAAAGGAAGTTGTCTCGAGGATTCTGTTGGTAGCTCATTTCTCTATCCTAGGGTTGGTTAAAAAAGAAAGAAAGAAAAGAAAAGAAAGAAAGAAAGAAAGAAAGAAAATCATACACCATGTTTTAGGAAGAAGAAAAATTCTCACCCCACCGTGCTCAAGGGCGAAGATCAAGTTGATACACATCAGTACTCTACGTTTCTCTGCTCTGCTTTAAGATAAGGGTACACTGACTGACAAGACACGCTCCCCCATTCCATCTATGTCAACATTTTGTTGGTAAAGAAAAAGAAGAACTGGGGGCTGGGAATGTGGCTTACTGGTGGAGCGTGTGCCCAGCATGCATGAAGCCTTGGGTTCAATTCCTCATTACCATATACACAGAAAAAGCCAGCAATAATGCTGTGGCTCAAGAGGCAGAGTGCTAGCCTTGAGCAAAAAGAAGCTTCGGGACAGTGTCCAGGCCTTGAGTTCAAGCCCTAGGACTGACAGGAAAAAAAAAAAAAAGAAAGAAGAAAAAGAAAAAGAAGAACTGTATTTCTCAAGAGGCTTTGAAATGTTCTAAGTCCGTCTCTGGAGCCTTACCATGAACACACTAACTGAAATGAATTTACTTTCCCTGATCTAGCTGAGGAAGATTTAAGGACTTCTTTAGAAATAAGCTTCAATTAAGAAGCAAATAGTGAAGACCTTACCTTCACTTCTTAAACAGGAAGATAAAGAGGCAAAGAGAGAGCCGGAATTCAGCCACAGCATGATAACAATCTTTATGGTAGATTTAAAACAATTCTTGGGCATGGGAAGTATGAACTGCAGAGATGAGATCTTAAAATGTCAGCAACATTGTGGCCACAGTAAAAAATAACACTTAGCCTCAAATAAGCCGACATGACAGGCCATCTACCATCTATTTCATAGAAGACTGTATAAATATATCATCCCATTTAAAAGCATATTGAACTAGGCTCCAGTGGCTCTCGCCTGTAATTCTAGTCAGTCAAGAGATCTGAGGATCACAGTTCAAAGTCAGCCTGAGCAGAAAAGTCCATGAGACTCTTTATTTCCCATTAATTACCAAAAAGCCAGAAGTAGAGTGGTGGCTCAGTTGGTAGATTGTTAGCCTGGATCAAAAAAGCTCAGGGACAGAGCCCAGATGCAGAGCTCAAGCCTCAGAACTGACCAACAACAAGAATCATTTCATAGTCTTCTCACAAAAAAAGTGGACTAGAGCTGCGTGCTGGTGGCTCATGCTCATAATCCTTGCTACTCAGGAGGCTGAGATCTGAAGATTGCAGTTCTAAGCCAGCGCAGGCAGAGATTCTTTTATCTAATTAACAACCAAAAGTAGAGCTGTGGCTCAAAGTGGTAGAGCACTAGCCTTGAGCAAAAGAAGCACAGGGACATCATCCAGGCCCTCAGTTCAAGCCCCAAGACTGACAAAAAATACATAAATAACATAAAAACTAGACTTGAAGATACTAAAGGAGCCTTTCCATATACTTTTCAGTGGGTTCACATATCTTTCTACCTGCCAAAAGAATCAAACCCAATCACATCCTTTCTTTGCAGACATTTTACAGATTACACTAAACCCCATTTTACAGATTAAACCCTCAGTTAAGGCTGAAACGAAGAAAATGTTGCTTACCAGTTCATACATGAAATCTGGATCGGAACTATTTGCCAAGAGATCTGTGCTCATCAGAGTCTGCTCCGAAAAGGTGTGGCTTCGAAAGGCATCCCCGAAAGGCGGATCCATTCCGCTTACACTAGGCTACAACAGAGTGAAAGTCACTTTACAAAGTCAAAGAGGACTTCAAAACCTCCATATTACATACGAGCCCTAACCCTTCTTGTTCATTAGTAATGACTCCGTAGTAAATTGCTCATTTATTTCCAGAAAATAAGTATTTCTCCGCTTTGTAGTACATTTAAGAGCTCACACTTATAATCCCATCTACTCAGAAGGTAGAAATTTGGAGATGGAAGTTCAATGCCACACTGAGCACAGATAAATCTGAGAGACTCTTCTTCAGTTGACCAGTGAAAAGCCAAAACTCTAGTGTTAAGTGTGGCAGCTGAAAGCTAAGAAGCCTTCAGCCCTGAGTTCAAACCCCTAATACTGGCACAAAATACAAAAACAGAATGTAAGAGGAGCAACTGTTTGTCTCTGGTTTTTGTCCAATGTGGGGCTTGAACTCTGGGCCTGGACGCTGTCCCTGAGCTCTTCAGCTCAAGGTGAGTGCTCTACCACTTGAGCCACAGCGCCACTTTGAGTTTTCTGGTGGTTTATTAGAGATAAAAGTCTCATGGCCTTTCCTTGACTGGGCTGATTTTGAACCATGATCCTTAAATCTCCTGAGTACCTAGGATTATAGGTATGAGCCACTCACTGGTACCTGGCTAAGAGTAGCAACACTTACTAACTTAAAGTTTATTTAGCCACTTACAGGCAATGTATAACATCTAAAGAGTACTTGAAATCCTTTCTTCTTTGTGCCAGTCTGGAGGCTTGAACTCAGGACATGGGCACTCCCCCTGAGCAATTTTGTTCAAACCTAGCACTCTACCACTTGAGCCACGGTGCCATTTGTGTTTTTTTTTTGGGTCCGGCCGTGGGGCCTGAACTGTGGGCCTGGGCGCTGTCCCTCAGCTCTTCAGCTCAAGGCTAGCGCTCTACCACTTGAGCCACAGCGCCACTTCCGGCTTTTTTCTTTTTGCTTATGTGGTGCTGAGGAATCGAACCCAGGGCCTCAGGCATGCAAGGCAAGCGCTCTACCACTGAGCCACCTTCCCAGCCCCTCATTTCTGGTTTTCTGGTGGTTTACTGGTTGTAAGAGACTCACAAACTTCCCTGCTTGAACTGGCTCTGAACCGCGATCCTCAGATCTCAGTCTCCTGAGGAGGAGGATTATTGTTGTGAGGCACTGGCGCCTGACCTCCTCAATTCTTTAATAAATGGTCTCTGTTCTAATCGCCACTTAATGTAGAGACTGCTCTGCTATTATTCCCTGTGGTGTGTAGAGGTAGCGAGTTGAGTCTCACTCTGTAACTCCCAAGTAGTCCAATGTCTTCCTTCCCAGAACCAAAGACAATGTGGACATCTTTTAGTCTAAATAACAGGATCAACAAAAAAGCCTCCAAAATCTACACATGACTAGAAATGTGGTATGACTTGTGACCTTCGTCCTGCTCTTTGAAAGAGTACAAGGCAGCGGAGAAGAATGCACGCCCCCCCCCAATCCCTTTCTCCTGCTTTCCCTTGGTCCCCTTGGTACATTTCAACCATCTGTCCAAACCACTTCAGAGACAGGGTTCAGACCTCTGAAGTGGCTCGAATAACACAAAGGCCTTCACTCTGAACGCTCTGATGAGAAGAGCAAATTAAACATGTTCTTTGCTTTTATGTTCTTCTTTTGTAAGCTACTGCAGAAAAGGGGGAAAGGCTGTGAGCTTATCTGTTTATACTTGGTGCAGATGTGCCTTCTATCTACCACGCACACATTTCCCATTCACTCTTTCATCATGCACCTTCCAGATGTTTCTTTTCTCTCTTTTTTTTTTTCCTCAGACCCACAGAACCTTTTTTCCCCAGAAAAGTGCAGCTTGAGAAGGTAAGTTTTAGAGCCCTAAATTTAAATACTCAATAAACGGCAAACGAAAAATGTTCTTTGGATTAGGTCTGTAAAAGGGGCTAGGGCAGTCCATTTGGCACAGAGACCAGAGTGGAAGTAGCTTCTGGTCTTTTTAGGATTGGCTTAGTAAGCCCACTTCTTTCCCTCTGCCTTTTTCCTCCCTGACTCACAGGAGACAGTCTCAGTGAGCTCACAGTATTTCTGTATGGCCCACATAAAGCTGCCTACGAGTCCCTGCTTGCTCCAACACTGAAACAAATGCTAAGTATAGAGGAGGGAGGGAGGGACACTGGACAGGAGAATGGAAACCAACAAGGCTTCATTGATTGGGTGGACAACTGCCTGGAAGCAACATGGACCTGTTCAAAGCAGTTGCTGTAAGAATCATTCTTCTAGAACTGTCAGAAATGGAAGGAGGATGTCACAGAGGATGGAAGGGAACTCTGGTGGCAGATCCATTTTCAGAGTTGTCAGATGAGATCCTGTAAAGCTAACAAATCTCTCAACCTCCTCACCTACTTATCCACCCGGATCCCTGGGTCAGCCTCTCTGAAAATACTTCAAACCTGTAGCAAAGGAAGAAAGAGAGGGCAGTGGAAGACAGGCTATGTACTCCAAACTAGGTGAGACCAGAAGTAAGCTGACTTTAAACAGTAGTATGTCAGCCGAGTGCCTGTAATTCTAGCTACTCAGGAGGCTGAGATCTGAAGATCATGGTTCGATGCCAGCCCAGGCAGGAAAGTCCATAGGACTATTTATTTTGCCAGTCCTGGGGCTTCAACTTGGGGCCTGGGCACTGTCCCTGGGCTTCTTTTGCTCAAGGCTAGCACTCTACCACTCAAGTCACAGCACTACGTCCAACTTTTTCTGTGTACGTTGTACTAAGGAATCAAACCCAGGGCTTCATGCATGCTAGGCAAGCACTTTACCACTAAGCTACATTCCCAGCCCTCCATGAGACTCCTTATTCTCCATTAACCACCAAAAGACAGAATGGAGAGGTATGGCTCAAGTGGCAGAGTGCTAGCCTTGAGAGTGCCCAGGCCCTAAGTTCAAGTCCTAGGATTGGTACATGTGTACACACACACACACACACACACACACACCACATGTAGCACGTCTAATTTGTTAAGATTCAGAAAACTTACAAAGCCAACAGCATTTGTTTTCCCAAGGGGAAACAGAAATCGCTGTCTAACTCCTCGTATTTATTTACCTGAGGCATTTCCAAGCCCAGATCCTGTGAGTCCAACTCCAAACGTCTTCTTTTTCTTGTCTGAAAATCCTTTTCCAGCTTTACCTTTAATCCCAAGATCAAAGGTGATTTTTACAATCTTGAGTGCTGTCAACTGCTTGAATCACTGCTTTCTTAGAAAATACTTCTGTGACTCTGTCAAACACAAAATAACTTCACTGAGTGCTGCTGAAAATAAGCGGAGCTTTCAAAAACATTAGCAAAGGAAACTGTACGATTGAAAGGAGTAAGGCTTATGGTTACATTTTTGTTGTTGTTGTTGATGGTCCTGAGGCTTAAACTCTGGGCCTGGACACTGTCCCTGAGCTCTGCAGCTCAAGGTGAGCGCTCCACCACTTGAGCCACAGCACCACTTCCTGTCTTCTGGTGGTTCCTTGGAGATCAGAGTCTCATGGACATTCCTGCCTGGGCTGGCTTTGAACTATGATTCTCAAATCTCAGCCTCTTGAGTAGCTAGGATGACAGGATGAGCCACCAGTACCCAGCTCTATGGTTACGTTTTCAAGAATTTAGTTATGCCTTAGCAGCTACTATTCTAAAGTTCACCATTTCATTCACCCGGTTTGTTTCTAAAATAGGATCAATTTCACAAATAACCAGTTTACAGTAGGGAGGACATTTAGTTCAGAGTGCTGGCACCTTCCAGTACTCTGGAGGCTTAGGCAGAGGGACTGAGATTCGAGACCAACCTGAGCATAAGTTCCAGATCAGCCTGGATTTATTGATTAAAAACAAGCTAACAAATAAACAACCAATGGTAACATTTACAAAAATAAGTCACTTGGAAGCTGGGTGTAGTGACACACACCTGTAGGTCACATCACTTATGAGATGGAGGTAGGACTGGGTAAGGCTCATCTAGGAAAAAAAGAAAGACTTTATCTCTGAAAACAAAAACTGCTGGGTGCTAGTGGCTCACATCTGTAATCCTAGCTACTCAGGAGGCTGAGATCTGAGGATCACAGTTCAAAGTGAGCCCAGGCAGGGAAGTCCATGAGACTCCAATAAACTACTCAGAAAAAGCCAGAAGTGGAGCTATGGCTCAAGTGGTAGAGTACTATTCCTTGAGCAAAAGAAGCTCAGGGACAGTGCCCAAGTCCTGAGTTCAAATAAAAAAAAGAAACCTAGGGGAAAAAAAATCAACATACCCTTGATCTTTTCCATGATCTGAAAGATACATTAATCTGAAAGTAAAATTCTCATTCACTTTATGCTCTTAATGAGGAAAAGTATTTCAACACTTTATTGTATAAATAATTACTATGGGGCTGGGAAGGTGGCTCAGTGGTAGCATGCTTGCCTTGCATGTATGAGGCCCTGGGTTCGATTCTTCAGCACCACATAAGCAGAAAAAGCCGGAAGTGGCGCTGTGGCTCAAGTGGTAGAGGGCTAACCTTGAACTGAAAAGCTGAGGGACAGTGCCCAGGCCCAGAGTTCAGGCCCACAACCGAAAAAAAAATAATTACTATGAAATTAATAATTTTTTTGCAGTGCTGAGGATTGAAACCAGGGCGCTCTACACAAACTAGACCAGTGCTCTACTACTAAGCTACGTCTACAGGCTTATTCTACATTGTGTGTGTGTATGTATACGCATGCACACACATGCATGCTGGACTTGAGCCTTGAACTCAGGGCCTGGGTGCTGTCTCTGAGCTTTTGTGCTCAAGGCTAGTGCTCTACCACATAGCCACAGCTCCACGTCTGACTTTTTGGTAGTTTATTAGAGATAAGAGTCTGCAGCCTAGGATGGCTTTGAATCACGATCCTCAGATCTAAGCCTCCTAAGAAGGTAGGATGACAGATGTAAGCCACTGGCGCCTAGCCCTAATCTACATTCTGTATCTCCCCAACTCTAGCAGGACAGTAATGAATACTTAATAGCTGGCCATGGAATTTAACATGTCCACGACAATAAGTACAATCACACTTGAAGTAGTATATATCAACATTATTCTTTTACCTACAAGCAAAGAATCGGTACTCAAGAAAGAACTATTTCAGCAGGTTTTTTTTTTTTTTTTAAATCAGGCTGTTGTTCAGGGGGGCATATGAAGAAGATACTGTGGCACAGTAGCTTTAAGAGCAGAGCTAAACAAATGACTAAATCCTCAGGCTCTGATGAAAATTTAAATGGCAACTTTTCTTTTTCCTGTTTACCTAGGAAGAACTAAACAGTTATACTCACTTCCTCCTCCTCTCCTCAGTTGTGAGTCTCAAAATGTGATCTCAGGACTATCAATAACAAAATTGAAATATGGGGCTTGAACTCAGGGCCTGGGCACAGTCCTTGAGCTTTTGTGCTCAAGGTTAACTCTCTACTACTTTGAGCCACAGCTCCACACTTCTGGTTTTTCTCGTGGTTAACTGGAGTCTCACGGACTTTCCTGCCTGGCCTGGCTTTGAACTGCGATCCGATCTCAGCCTCCTGAATAAGATTATAGGCGTGAACTACGGGCACCCATCCCTAAAAAACCAACTGAAAATGAATTGCCTCTGTAGCTCTCACATTCTCTGGGCTGCAGGCCCATTATTTCAGCTTGAAGGACTCTGTTGTTGAACAAATGAGATAGTGATGAAGGGACCCAATAAACTTGAGTGTACAATCTGTATTTCTCAGATCTTCGCCGGACCCCCCTCTTTGGCAGACTATCAGTTCCACACATTCTAGGCCAGACTAGGGAACACTGAAAAGTACCCAGCACGGTCCTAAGACAGAGTTAACTATGTTTTTCCATTTAGTCAATCTATGTGGACTAAACCCTACTTGTGTCACGGGTAAGTTCATGTGCAGATTGACCTCATGCTCTGGTCCAATTTGTGGTATGCAGACAGTCCTAAATACTTTCACTGGGTCAGTAATCTTTTCCAGACTTAGTACTTAGTCCCGATCCCAGGCACACACACACAAGAAAATGCACGAGTATAGCCCGGATCGGTCTGTAATCTGGATGTGGAAGCAAAGTCTGGAGTCTTCTGAAACCTGAAGTTTTATCCTTACTGATAACAGAGTTGGAAACACAGGAAGAGATGGAGTCCTATTCCATGTACATTTCGTGGTATCTACTTAAGATGCTGTGGACAGTCTGGTTTGGAAGGGTTAACCTAAAAAGAGTTAAGTGTCACTCACAACTCTCATACTTTACACAACACTGGGTCAGAATCTTTCTAAGCCTCATTTTTCTTTCATCCTGGGAGGAGGTGACACACTGTTAGCTGGTTGTGTTGGTACATGCCTGTGATCCCAGATACCCAGGTAGGAGGCTGAGGCAGGGAGATCAAGAATTCGAGGCCAGTCTGGAAAACAAAGCAAGAACTAGTCTCAAAAAAAAAAAGAAAAAAGAAAAAAAAAAAGACACTGGTAGATTACAGCTATAATCCTAGCTTCTCAGGAGTAAGATCATAGTTCAGATACAGCCTAAGCAGACAAGTCTAACAGAGTCATTTCCAATTAACCACCAAAAAGCCAGAACTGGAGGCATGGATCAAGTGGTGGGTGGCAGCTGTAAACAAGAGCTAAGCAAAGCCGGGCGCTGGTGGCTCACGCCTGTAATCCTAGTTACTCAAGAGGCTGGGATCTAAGGATCTCGGTTCAAAGCCAGCCCAGGCAGGAAAGACCCTGAGACTCCTATCTCCAATAAACCACTAGAAAACCGGAAGTGGCGCTGTAGCTCAAGTGGTGGAGCGCTCGCCTTGAGCTGAAGAGCTAAGAGACAGCGCCCAGGCCCAGAGTTCAAGCCCCACGACCGACCAAAAAAAAAAGCAAGAGCCAGATGCCTGTGGCTCAAACCTGTAATCCTAGCTACTCAGGAGGAGGCTGAGATCTGAGGATTGCAGTTCAAAGTCAGCCTGGGCAGGAAAGTCTGTGAAACTCTTATCACCAATAAACCACCAGAAAACTGGAAGTGGTGCTGTAGCTCAAGTGGTAGAGCGCTCGCCTTGAGCTAAAGAACTGAGGGAGAGCGCCCAGGCCCAGAGTTCAAGCCCCACGACCGACCCCCTCCCCCCCGCAGAAAAAAGAGCCAAGCAAAAGACAGAGGTCCTAAATTCAATCCCTAGCATGGGCATCCCATACAAAACTCACATAGAGAGGAAGGACGGGAGGATGCAGTTATAATATTCAGAGTATATATATATATGAAAATAAAACTAGGAAAACTGAGGGGATGGCTAAGGTTAGGAAGAGATAGGGGAATTGTGAAAGAGATGACATCCATCAAGATACATTGTTATTATAAACTGACACACTGAATTCTAACTCCTTTGTGGAACCACTTAAGGATAATAAAATTCAAATTAAAAATAACCATAAATTAAAAAAAAATCTTCTTTCTTTTAGGGCTGGAGATGTGGCTCATGTGGTAGAGTGCTTATCTAGAAAGTGTGGGGCCCTGAGTTCAAACACCACAACTGCTAAAAACGAAGACCCCCGTGCCCCCAAAAGCTATTACCTATCTGGCTACTAGATTTTCAAATACAATGTCCATACAAATGCAAGTACTGAAATTTTTACTTTAAAACATCAAAATGTTTTTGGAGTTTGCAAAAGAGGGCATTTTTTTTTAGAAGATAAGAGATCTGGTTTTAATGTTTTCCACCTGACGCTGGGGTTTGAACTCAGGGCCTCATGCTTGGTTGGATTACTTGCTTGACTGACATCACTTGAGCCATACTTCCAGCCAGGAGCTTTGTCCATTACTTTGGACACAGAGGCTCACTGATTTTTCTGCCTGGGCTAGCTCTGAATCCTGTTCCTCCTGATCTCAGCTTCCTGAGTTAAGATTACAAGTGTGGCCTGGTGCTGGTGGTGCACACCTGTAATCCTACCTACTCAGTGGCTGAGATCTGAGGATCTTGGTTCGAGGCCAGCATAGGCAGGAAAGTTTGTGAGACTCTCATCTCCAAGGAGCCACCAGAAAACTGGAAGTGGATGCTATGGCCAAGGTGGTAGAGTGCTCACCCCAAGCAAAGGAGCTCAGACCCCATGAGAGGACCTCCCCCGCCCAATCAAAATGTGTGCGTGTGTGCGTGTGTGTGCGTCCCATTGCTTTGCTCTAGTTTCAATTTTGACCCTATAACTGAAACCACACAACTATATGAGTTAAAGCAGATTACTTAGTAAATTTATTCCT